ACCGTTTGTTGTCACTGATGTTGTCGGTTGTGCCGCTGTGGTAGATTCTGTAGAATTATAAAATTAAAAATATCATAAACCACCTATCATGAAGTAGAAATAGTAAATCATCGTTCAACAATGAAATTAAAAAGTGAAATATTTTGCTCTTAGTCATTATTGATAACCTTTAAAAAGACATAAACAAATAATGAGTCAAAAACCTACCCTCAGTTGTCACTGACGTTGTCGGTTGTGCTGTTGTGGTAGGTTCAGTAAAGTTATAAAAATTAAACTATATCGTAAAACACTAGTCGTGCAAGTAATAATAGTTCAATAATTCAACTAATAATGATAATCATTAAAGTCAAAAACCTACCCTTAGTTGTCACTGATGTCGTCGGTGGTGCCGCTGTGGTAGGTTCTATATAGAGTTATAAATCAGTTAGCAATTAAATAAATATTTCAAATAGAAATTTTAAAACATCGTTCAATAACGTAATTTTAAAAATAAAATATTTAACTTTTATTTATTATAGATAACATTTTAAAATACATTAAATAATAATGAGTCAATAATTTATATTTTGTTGTTACAGATGTTATCTGTGGTGCTGTGGTTGCAGGTTCTATAGATTTATAAAATTAAACATCATATACCAGTAGACCTGTATGCATTTGTATTTTAGCAAAATTGGTAATTATTCTAAATATATTCATTTTTATACGAGTCAAAAAACTTCCTTCAGTTGTAACTTATGTTTTAGGTGTTGTCGCTATTTTAGTTTCTATAGAGTTATAACATTAAAATATATCATATACCACTAGTCGTGTTACAATTTATATTTCAGCTAAAACTGATAATAATGTTTAAAATATTTATTGTTGTATGAGTCTAGAACCTACCTTGAGTTGTCACTGATGTTGTCGGTTGTGCTGATGTAGTAGGTTCTGTAAAGGTACAAAATTGAACTTTGTTATATATCACTAATCGTGTATACACATATAAAAATATGTGATTCATGGACTCGTTTAAACATTAAACATTTACTAATTAAATACAACATTTGAAATACAAATGGTATATCTTCGTTCAAAAATTATATTTAAAAAATATAATATAACTCTTAGTTATTGACAATACTTTGTGCTTAAAGCCCTTTGTGACATGTTATAATCACCGAATCACCTTGCCCTTCATTCCTTTCTTTACCCGTTTATTTTAGTCAATGACTATTCACCACAACCGTTATCTAGCTTTTCTTCTTTTGTTCTGTGGACACACAACTTGATTCATTCGTCCCATGCAAACTCTACCACAGTCGATTTCGCTACCCTCTTCTTCACATCTCAATTGTTTTTTCTTTTAACAAAAATACTATCAAGGAGGTCCTCACAATGTAAAGATCTTTTGTGGGGTGTGTTGGGGCATGCGAGTCATTATGAACTTACTGGAGTAAATTCCCTACCCAGTGATGCATAGTTTAATTACGGTTGATGTATGTGGGTCATTAGGGCTATAGTAGCGCATACCCCAGGATGCCTAGTTCCAATAGGATTGGGGTATGCGGTTCATTCTACAGGATTTATATAGAATATTGTAAAAAAATTGTATAGAATTTTTGTAAGGCAAGCCTGCCCTACCACCTACTCATAAGGCGAGTGTTAATAATAGTCAACGAACAAACGAATGGATGAACGTGATGCATAGTTCGACGACAATTTGCATTTTTCACTTCGTAATACTGTACTGGCCAAGAAAATCCGTATTGACTCTGTATAGGCCTGCTATAGATCATATTTTGCGTGCAGACTTCATTCTTATCAGAAAACTTTCACGAAATGTTCTAAAATTCCAAAGCTGATGTATATTGCCATGATTATGAAAAACACATTATATTTATTTTTGCGATTTTTGAGATTCTTATTAGGCTTTAGGAGCTTCCTATGGATGTAATCTATCACGTGAATTGGTCATATACTCGCACATATGTTTAAAAAGATGAGATTAATATGATAGCTACCCAATATATCTATCCACCAAAGCGAAAATATTGGGAGGGTGGATTATATCCACAAAGCATTAAGAAGTTGGCAATCATCTAATCACGGAAGACAATTATGCATATTTAATTAGTTTCCTAGCCGGTGAAAGGGCATAATACTAGGTCAGAATACAATTATATAAAAAAAAAAATAGATTGCTCTTCATCCTCTTAAGCATAAGTTGCAATATGGCCATGACCTAGCTGTGGTCTACTCTATAAATTTTAGACTATTATTATTCACTAAGACCATCAACAAACAACATAACACATTATCACAATTGTAGGACGAGCCAATGCTTGGAATATAACATCTATATTAAATTTATATTCAAAATATTTATTAACATTTAAATGAGTGTACTTCCATTATAATTTAAAGAAATAACCTCCCAACAATGGACCATACCGAAGGTGGGGTGCACAATGGGTTGTTGGTATTGCTCTTGCTCTACAATGGGTTTAAGCTGTTGAGGAATTGTTAGCATTAGATAAACTTTTTATTAAATTTTATATTATGAATTAAAAACGGGAACATTCAGTACTCCAAATGCAAAAGAAAACAAGGGATAAATAATCATATGTAATGGGGTGCTTTTTAGAAAAGTAATTTTCCCAGTCAAAATTTTATCATTTTTCCAGTATCATGTGTACCATATTATCACTATTTTCCCTTCCTTCTTAAATAATTATTCACTGTTCTTTTTTCAATATACCATTGTTACCATGAATTTCTATTGTAAGTTTCTTGAATTACTTTTTTCATCAAAACTATTAATATTTAAAGCTTACTTGGAGTACAATCAACTTGAACAGATTGAAGCCTGATGACAAGAGAAAGAATGAATTGTCCTAGTGAATCTCCTAGTGACGTTGACCTCTGTCAGTCAAAACAAGATTGAGCCCGCAATCTTTTCATTACTCAACTAAAATATTAACCTTATCCAGTATAAATGTTATCAATTGCTTTTAAAGTGTTACTGTATTTCATTTTCTTACTTTCTTCTTTTATGGCAACTCAACACAAATATTCAATATCACAACATATTAAGAAATTACATTAAAATAATATATCAGTATCTATTATTCTTGAGTTATCATATTATTATTATTATCATTAATTTTCCTTTTTTATAAATAAATAATATCACAATACCTATATACATATTAGGACACTAAACATATGGTAACACATGATACGGCACTGGATAAATGATAAAGTCTGATTGGAAAAAAAATACATCTAGGAACGACTCGATTGCATAAGGGAAGCTATTCATTTACCCCTTGTTTTGCTTTTACATATGGAGTACTAAATGTTTATGCTTAATCTGGGCTGCCCCCAGTTTCTAATTTATGTTACTGCCCAAAAAAGAAAGAAATAGGTCTTCCTAGTAACCTAAATATATTGTAGAGCAAGATCAAGACAAACAGTCTATTTTGCACTCTTTCCTAACAATGGCATATCAATTGGGCCTGAACTACATCAAAAGGGCCTGAAGCTACAAAGTGTTGTATGTTTAAAAGTTGTTTGTTAAAGTACAATGTGTGTATTTGTAATAATGAATTTAAATAAACTGCTAATAAACATTTATATTGTATAAACTCACAACACAATAATGTTTGTTCTTTATAGAAATTTAATATTATTAGAAAAAAAATCAAATTTTGTAAGTTTTTATGATTGTTAGTGCAATAATTAATATTGGAAAAGAGTATAAAAATAACTTTAAAATTTGTTTTATTACATTGTTACATTGCTTACCATATGGAAAATCAGATTTATATTTTAAAAATATTTTTTTTATCAAAATAGAGGTCATAATAAGTTAAGCCATAAATAAGTTAAAAATTATAATTATTTTTGTTTTACCTTTTCGATACATATAAAAGGAAGTTAAACCCCTAAGGTCCTGGACGGTTGAAAACACCTTAATTCTTATTTTTTATTAGACCTTAAGTCCAACACATGTATTTTACTGGTAAAACTGAATATATAATGCCTGGCATCAGATCTTTTATGCTTCATTTTACTTACTTATTTATTTATTTTTTTTGGAAAAAACAGATTGTCCACTTCAGATGGATGGAATTATGTAAACAGCAAGGATAACCCACAAAAGTCTGAAGAAGACTTATTTCCAGTGGGGTTCCGGTGGTGATTGGGCGGTACACCGGCAGACAATCATCTTCTCTTTTCCGAATAGTGAACTGCGTTCTTTAGGGTGTATCATCATTAGTGTTCTGCTGAAGGCAGGCCCTTCCTAGCAATCTCCAGTACTACCATTCTCTGCATCTCTCTTTATCTAGTAGTAACTTTTTCTTTAATTAATGTCATCCAACATCATCATTCTCATTCCTCTTAGTCTTTTCCCTTCAATTTTCCTTCCATCACGTCTTTCATAATAAATTATAACATGTGACCAATCCATCTCTTTTTCAGTTTCTTGATTAGCTATCTGTAGGTGTGGTTCACACACTCTTCTTAGTACAGTACAATCTCCATATTAACTTTTATCCGTCCACTTGATTTTCGCCGATTTTCTCAAAATCCACATCTCGCATACATCAATCCTTTTTCTGCCAGCTTTCTTCAATATCCATGTCTCCGAACCATACAACATCACACTCCAGACCAAATTTTTCCAGACTTTAGGGTGCACACACAGGCCATAATGCATACGGGACCAGCGGCTTAAAGGTCTCATCCGAAAGGCGGTGCGCTATCGTAATTTGCATTTTAGCCCTTCAGCTGTTGAAGTAAACAGTAGAAAGGAAAAGCAGCGATAGGAAGTAAACCATGAGGGACCTATAGGCCTACATCTCTGCGTAGTAGCGCACACACAGTGGCTACCACCAGTTTAGCCGACTGATTTAAACTGCTGTCACTTTGACTGGGTTATAGAAATAAAATCATTACCATTGTAAGCGTTAGTACACCCCCCCCCTACACACACACACAAATCAATAGAATTACAGTAATTTCCATAACATAAGGCTAATAAAAACGCGTTTTGCAAAATATGTCAAAAGAATGATTTTTTTTTATCTTATACTATTACCAGTACCGCTATTAGTTTGAGTAGGTAACTCGGTTGTAGCCGCTGTTGTTGGTTGAAACTCATATGTAGCATGATACCCACTAGCAGTTAATGTGCTATCAGAATGAAATGCTAGGAATATTTCGCCATCTTCTTCAACAATGGTTCCCGGGCTGTTGCTTCCACAAAACCTAAAGAAAAAAGATATGTTTTAGTTTGTGTCCTATGATTATATACATAGTTTGATCACCACAGAACCTAAACATATCTTGTAACTTGACCGTGATTTTTTTTGGGGTGGGGGCCGACAGGGGATGGCACGAGTATTTTGGAGGGGGTGCCAACCCGTCCTCCCCTAGATACGCCACCGATAACGTCTGACTAGCATGAGTGTGCCAGCATCCTCTTGGAGAAATACAGAAAAAATATAATGACTAAAGATAACAATCGGCATTAAATAGGTTATGTTATTTTCATTCTCTGATAAGTATACGTCAATTCCAGCACACCCTCTATAATTTAAATTTAGTATATTAATGATGGTAAAGCAGTATCTTTGGAGCATACTAATATATTCATTATTAATAATTTATTGACTGACATCATTTGTATATAATCCATTCAAAAGTCTATACTACTTTAAATTTAAAAGATATCTGATGCAAACAGACGATGCTAAAACGATAACTTACAGGCTACCGGGATAGTAAAAATTAGTGTTACGTATGTCCAGGTAGTCCCACCTGCAAAAAGTATCTGCCTCCAAATTAAAGGCATCGAAGGTAATCGTAAGATTACTGGTACCCTGATCGATTAAATGAAAGTAATTGTATTAACACTTCTGCTGTTTATGTGAGATTATAAATACAATTCATTTTATACAAAGAAACAATATAATGTTTGCACAAGAGTCCCAGCTCCTTTATTATCGTTGCTAAGGTTCCACAAAACGAGAGATTAACGTGTATCATCGTTAGTACTTGAGTTCGTGGGACAAGACGTGTGTAGGCGTGTGCGTATTCCTGGTCTTGGTCAGTTAAGATTGACTGACACTCCAGAAGGGTTCATTAACGGGAAAATACACATACATACACAACAGCATTTATATATCGCTATTTTATGAAACTCAGAGTTCTCAAATCGTGGACTACAATTGCTGATACAGTAACTTATAAGTGCCTGTTCGTGTCTGAGATACAAGGTACATGGGCTGTATGGACCCCAGTACACCGGGGTAACCCCCTACTCGTCGCGAAATATGTACTGGGTTGTTTAGAGTGCACATGAGACAATTGTGTACACTTGGACCTATTGTTTAAGTCCTTATCCGAGAAGAATTGTTCCACCTCTGGAACGTGCTAAAAGTTGGGGAAACCCTGCCTTAACCGTTCGGCCATTCAACTCTCAAACATGAGAATAAAATATAAATACAAAATTAAAATTCTAACCCATTTGGAGAAAAAATTGTATCAAATTACATTACGAAGTTCAGTTTTATTAGAAATACATTTGTTATCCGTCGCCTATATTTATATTTATGCTTTTTTTTATCATTAATGTTGTCATTATGATTGTCTTGGCTGATTCTAATCTACTCACATTGAAATAGATGTAACAATCTAAGTTGGTGGTATAACTTTCCGGATAGTTGGGTGATGAAATGGTTCCAGAACTACTTTCAGATTCGTCTATTGTTAACGAACAGGAGTCTAATAATAATAATAATAATAATAATAATAATAATAATAATAATAATAATAATAATAATAATAATAATAATAATGATAATAATAATAATAATAATAATAATAATAATAATAATAATAATAGGCCTGATAATAATATTAATAATAAGATCAGTTTAATGATTCAAACAATGCTATTTATAATCATCATCGTCATCCTCATTTTCATCACCTTCTCCATTGCAATCATCATCAAACTTGAGAAATTGAAAGCATGTACAGACTGATCATCTGTAGGAACTAGATAAAGCAATTAAGTTTAATGTAACCACTGCAATATTGATAGGTTTTCTTGTGTAAGGTGCGATAGGTCAGCGAAGATCACTGGAAATAGTTCAAGTGGCGTTGGAAAATTCAATATTTTGCTGACCTATATTAGTTTGCCTATTGTGATAAAAAAAAAACCGAGTTGATGATGCTCTACATTTATTACCCCCTATTTATGGTAATTTAGACCATGGAGGTATAATAATACCTCCATGTTTAGACAAAGCCGAATCCTATGTTACAACTCTAGTTTCATATTTTCGTTCAGCATTCAACATTATCTAACCACATGTGGTGGTAGATAAGCTAAGTAATGTTAATGTTCACCCTTATTTTTGTTTATGGATCACCGACTTCATATGTATGAGATCCCAAATGGTTAGGATTAGGAGCAATGTCTTGAAATAGTTAGCCATGATATCAACTGGTGCTCCGATAACGTCTTAATGCTAAGAACACAAGGGAAGTGATTCTGATTTCTGCACAAATAGTTAGGTGTACTCATTGACGATGAACTTTGAAAAAATAAATTGAAAGCAAGTGAACGTTAATTTTTCCCAGGAAAGTAAAATAAGTGTAAGGACTTGATGCTCTGTCTCTTTTATAAAATCAGTCATCTGCTTCTGTTGTAGTAATCTAACAAAGAGAATAGTAAACAAATAACCGGAGCGACAGGAAACATAATTGGTAGGACGTAGGCTTTTCGTTATCTATATAAATGTTTCAGTACATGGCACAACAGGGTGAGAGTCTGTAATCTCAGATAATCTTGTTACTGTTGTGATGTGCATGTAATACTGTGTACATCACAGAAACACCAACTTCATGTATTTTAAAAATATTACAATAAATTCCATCTTGAATCTTGATTATCGTCATCATCATCATCATCATCATCATCATCATCATAATCATCATCGTCATCATCATCATCATCATCATCATCATCATCATCATCATCATTATAATCATCATCACCACCACCGCAATTTTCTTCTTCATCATCATCATCATCATCATCATCATCATCATCATCATCATTACTATCATAATTATTTCTAGAGGTAAACCCCCATGTATGTATTGTAATGGCAAGTATTTTGGTACCACATCTTTTCCATAAAATGCAAAGCGATTTTCTATTATACTAATATTAAGACAAGAACAAACTATATCATAATATTTAGGTTTATAAAAAAGTAGACTAAGCCAAAAGAAACATACAAAAAAAAGTAGAGTTGTGAGGACAGGATTGCTTGAATTACATTATCAATCATTAACAATTATTACTTCTTCAAACATAACTGATGTTCCGTTAAGCCCGCCCTTTGGTCTTGTTACAATGGTCTCACAAAACGACAATGTTTGTATGAAGCGTGCCCGTCTTCCTGACCTTGTTTTGTTTGGTCAATTATGTTTGATTGACACGGAAAATTCTATTAGGATCCTACCTAAATGATTCTAAATTACCCGTAAGCTCCTCTGTTTCACACAAACTTCCTGAAAAGTTTGGTGGGCACAAACAGTCGCACCCGTTGGTAGATCTCCTGTAGCCTGCGTTCTCGCAGGGTGTACCAGTGCAGTCAACTGTAGCATTAAAAAAAAGAGAGAGATTTGAGACTTATACAAATAAATTTAGCGACTAAAGAGTGCAATTTATTTTGTCTTTTATTTTGTTGGAATAATTTTCAAGATTTTCTAAATATGTCTTTAAAGATGGCGAATTGTCGTGAGTAAACAATTATAGGTTTTCGGTACACCATGTGGCATATGTGTAATCCACCAGTCATACCATCGAATCACAGCGCATCAAAGCAATACTCTGGAACCTTCATCAGCACTCTAAGCCATCCTTACAGCTCTTCATCATTCTTCCCATGAGGATACTAACCAAAACGTTGGGACATTACAAAAACGGTTCTCAAACCCAAAAAATACCATCAATTGATATTGGTAGCATAATTATGCCACATGTGTAGTGTTGTACTACTTCGTTATGTGCCGTACGCACGCGGAGGGATACGAATATCGATAGTGGATAGAAGACAACATGGTGTGAGTGTATCCAGGGAGTTGTTATTGTTGTTGTACTCAATAAGCAACACTAAATCCGACGACGAGGATGCGCAAGGAAGGAGAATATGGCAAGTAATTATCCCATTGTTCCATTCGATAAATGTTGTCGCTGAGTCTTTGGACACGTCTGTACGTAAAAAATAGGAAGCGTGGGTCAATTTCGAAGACTATCCCCGGTATTCTTAAAACCATACCTCCATGTTAAAACAAAATTTAGTCGTAGTTCGAGCTAAAACTTTAAAATTACGTAATTTCGTATTCTTAAAAAGAACTTCGACTAGCACTACGACTAAATCACGCGACCTCAACTAAAATGATACCTCCGCAGGAAAATATTTTTAGTCAGCCTAGGGTCAGGCTAAAACGCCGACTTGAAATATTTACCCAATTAAAAACATGTTTTCGTAACACACGATAGAGTGAAACGAATAAAAACGAATGTATAAGTAGGTCCGATGTATATTCGGTGTGTTCAACAAAACAGACACGAAGTTTAACTTCCAAAAGGCGAAATTATCATGTTTTGCTAGCCACTTCATATAGTGTCAATGCAGCTTTTAATAGAAGATCCCGGATTCGAGTCCTGGTTTCGGAGATATTTAACACTCTCAGCTGGAGTCTCCGAAACCCTCAAACGGACTTTCCAAACATTTTGGCATCACAACGTATTTCAAACCAACAAACACCATGAGACAGTTGTTAGTGTCCCCAAAGGACAAGAGCCAAAAGAAAGACATCACAGGCGATATATACTACATTGCTTCAGGCAAATGTAGGCCCTAATTATTCTTACATTGGCTTCAGGCAAATGTAGGCCCTAATTATTCTCGCATTGGGGAATCAGAAAGACTCTGAAGACACGTTTCTTGCAGCACCACCAACCTAGTTATCTTAATTAGATCTCACAACATATCCACATTGAATCACCTGGGCATCACGCTGACCTGGCACATCTTAGACAGGGAACCAAGGTATTTGAGAGAATTGAAAAGGAGGCATCCGGGTAAACAAACCGA